GTACTGTAATGCTGCAGAGATGCCCTGGTCTACAAATGCAGATGTTAGAAAACATGTTTGTTGGTACAGGCCCCAACAAATGTTAATAATCATACTTTTTTCAGTGAAAATTAAACTTGTGATGCAAAGATATAATTGTGAATCACATGGCAATCGTAATATCTGTCAAAATAATCACAATATGATTATTTTTTACCATATCGGTCAGACTTATACAATATGTAATTATCACCTGTCACAATATTGACTTTTTTACATTTTATTTGTTGTTTTGGTTGTGTGGTTTTATTTATGTTTTGTTTATTAAGAATATTTTAGTATTCCTTTCACATTCCAATTCCAATGTCTGAATATTCTTAAAAGTGCATTTCTCTTTGAAAGGGTGTGCTTGCATTATTATGCTCCTCATTTTAACAGTGGTACAAAATGGTCTTAAAATGACAACAATATTTTTTGATATTTCTGACACCCTTATTTGCTAATGCTCTCCACCTGCCTCTTCCCATCTCACTCTTTGACAGAAAGTGAAACTAGTTAGGTACTGTACAAATCTTAGCTAAACTGGCACTTTTGTGAGACTGCAGAGGAGGTTTTCTTTGCAGATTACAGAGATAAATTCAGAAGCTATGGATCACAGTTAAGGGGGAACCATGTAACTTTTGAAAGAATAAAAAAATTCCACACTATTGCAATTGTTTCTGCTATTGCAACCTTGTTTGGTGTGGTATGACCAGTAGCTTATGGTGGATAATTGTAGCTAATGTTTACTGACTTAAAACAAACAACACTGTACAACAAACAATGCTCACTTCAGCTGACTCACTGACACTTCTCCACTGTAACACTGAAACTGTCACTTGCGGTCACTGTGGTCGGTGTTCAGAAAAACACACGTAGGTTTGCGTATGTTGCATAGCTGCATACAGAGCTGATATTATTTTATCATCAGAAAATAAATTCTCATAATCAATTAATAGTTTGGAACATTTATAAAGCAAAATGAACAAATGTTCTTTGTTTCCAGTTTTCAATGTGAAAATGTGCTGCTTTTGTGTTTGTAAATGTAAATAACTAAGTTAAAAATGACTTCACCTCTTGCTTTGTTTACATAAAATATTACAAAATTGTGAAAACTGCCATTACAATTTTCCAATCAATTAAAATAATAAATCAATAGAATATAATAGCATAAATACATCACAGGCCTAACTATAATACAATATATTTAAACAAAACATATTATTGATATTATACATCAATACTTTATTATTTATCTATTTATAGTACTATTTACTATTCATCATTGTACACACAAACACACAAACTCAGCTTTCAATCATGAAACCCTCTTTTTATAGCTTCAAATAACTCATTAAAACTTATTTTATCAGAAAAATGAAAAGTTGAACATACACCAGCATGATAAGATCTACCTAAAACAACAGAAACCAACAGTAGGAAAATGTGTTTGACGTGTAATTTCATTTTTTGTTTGGCCCATGTCCCATCTGCTAACATGGAGACAGTGGACTTTATGAACTACACTGCAGTCAGCCACCAGAGGGCGATCAATATGTTTTGGCTTCACTTTGGGAGAGCTGTCATGTCTTCTATATATATATATATATATATCTTTATATATGTTGATGGTTTGAACACCTTGGGGCACCTCTATCACTGTAATTGGTACATGAAGTCAGCTGACCTGATATAATTCCTGCATAGCGTCAACCTGAGCAACCTGACGTCTAATATGCCGAGCGACTGAAAACACCTGGCTGGGTGAGGAGGGCCTGTCAGATTGAATTAATAATTCTTACATATAAAGGAGGATATTTCCTTCATGTTCTTGCTACTTTTGCTCAGAAATAGGATTGAGTGCAGTAATTACTACCACTGCCATCGCAAAAACTCCTTCTGCTCCCACTACAATGACTATCATTTGGACAACTCGTTCTGTTATCACTGCCGCTACTAATGGGTGTGAATTATCTGTGAATTTGTACGTGCTCTTGCTAAGCCGAGGAATCCAGCAGCTGTCACCATTACAGACGCAGCTGCTCTGGCCCACATTTCACCTGTGCTGTACAGCCTCAAGCTCTAAATCCACCCCTTCAAACCCCCTTATCACACAGAGAGAGGGGATAATCGTCGGTAAGCCTCCGTGATTTCTGCTTTCTAACAGTCAACACAGAATTGTGGCCTTAATCGGAACCCCTTAAATAAAAAAGTGTCGCACTGCGTGAAGCTGATGCGGCTGGTGAAAGTTAAGTTGGGAGGTACAAACAACTTAAAGGTGGGAAAAAGCTGGTTCAGCTGATGTGGTGATACTGTGGATTTATTCAGCCCAAGCCTACATAAAAAAGGAGAAGCCTTAACCACACATATTAAGAAGTCAATGCAAAAAAGGAAGCGTGGATTAATAGAAAGGACACCACTTATGTGCATTATGTGGTCCCAAACCAAACCAAATGCCCACAGTGTAATGCGGATACAAGCAAGCGCCCTTCACACAATACGTGGAATAATCTTTTGGCAAACATTACAACAATACATTTGCTTTTTGACACCCAAAAGACTTAACGTCAAAGTCCTTATTTGCTGAGGTTTTCCATTTTTCCCACGCAGGTAAAGACTACTTAAAGCTAAGCCTAATACAAATCTCTGCTGAGAGTGTGTGTGTGTGTGTGTGTGTGTGTGTGTGTGTGTGTGGAAGGACAACAGAGATTGTTCCAGAGTTGGGCAATCGTTTTTTATTTCCATACTGTCCAATTGTGGCTACTCGAGATTGCGGATATGGGAACTGATCGCCACTGGTGGCGAGAGTGGCAGAGTAATGTCACAGCACGACAAAGCCACATTTGCACTGGTCAAGAAATGTAACTATAACTATAACCAGGACAAAAAAGATGAAGATGTAGAGATTATTTTTATAACATCTTAGTTCCGATAGTAACTAAAATTGCCATCATTCCTTCAACTGTCGATATAACATCCAATCGCCAATCAGCACAAGCCTGTAACATTCAGTGTATATAATGCCGGAAAATTTCCTACAGGCCAACATTACATCTTCAACAGTCCAGAACCCAAAGATATTCAGTTTACAATATATAAAAGAAGAGTAAAGCAGTACATCCTCGCTGGGATTAGCAGATGGTTAAAATATGAACCAATTATCAAAACTGTTGTTGATAACCTTTCAACTAACTGACTAAGTATTTCAGCAGTTACCATTGTGGTATCTCTTTTCTACATCTGTAATGCACACTCTACTTTGTTGTTGCAGAATAAATGAGGGTTATGATTACAGTTCCCCTTCATTAAGCAATCATTTCGATCTCCACACACTGACAGAGAGAAAGGAAGCTTGGTTCAAACTTGTATAATGGAGTGGAAGAAGGAAAAATCAGTCCACAAAAAATGAGTGCAGGAACAGCAATTTCTCCATCAAGCTTGACCTCGTTCAAGCTGGTCATGTCGCCCGCTGAGGTAGTGTGTGTGTGTGTGTGCGTGTGTGTTTCTTCCATTATGAAACCCTGGGGGTTGAGCTACATGTCTTTACTCTTTAAAAGTAGAAATTCCTGTCACTCGAAAATGTCCTGTCGCCACTTGCAATATCACTTGTTGGTTTTCCTCCCCTTCTCTCTTTAACAGCCTCCCTGTGTGTGTGTGTGTGTGTGTGTGTGTGTGCTCTGTTTATGTGTAAACATCCCCTCAGTGCACTGCCTTCAGGCCTGTTGAGTGCCTTCAACATTCCTTTAGTCCTGCAGGAATTTCTGTCTTTGAGCCAATCCACCCAGGAGGGCAACAATAGTCTTTAACTGCTCCAGGCGAACTCAGTGTACACTAACCCCATCCCCTCCCCCAACTCCTCACCTGATCCCCTCCACATCCCCGCCAGCCTGCCTCCAGCCACTCCCACAGAGCATAAACATAACTGTAGATGAAACACATAAAAAACACACTGTAATATGTTGGCATTAGGAGGCTTTTACCTTCGCCTTCGATGGTGCACTTGCTGAGGTCCAATGTCTTTGAGTTGATCACCCCAACCACCGGGTAGCCCTCCACCTCCCCTGCAGGCTCCCTGGGCAAAAAGCTGATGCTGCTGCCGTCGTCGGGGGCAACGGTCGCCGGGTGGGGGTCATAGCTGTTCTCCGCCAGGCTGGTCAGTCTCCTCAGGGTCACTCCTTTGGCGCTGAGGATCTCGGCGTCAGAGCCGCAGCTCAGCAGCCTCTCTGCAAACTCCACGCTGCCTCGGACGTCCGACACAGCCTGCTGCAGCTGCGCCCTCTGCAGGTGGAGCTGGTTCCTGTTGGACGGAGACAGCGGGAATAACAGGCAGCAACTCCCATGTGCTAAACCAGAGATCTGTCTGCACTGTAAATAACAGTGTTTATGTGTAGTGATATTTGAAGTATATCTGTAAATACAGACTAATCCCGCTTTCTGCCTAATACCGTCTGCTCCAGTCATGTGTGTGTTCCACTCCCACATGGCACCCACAAACATTCTGACCAGAGATTTAGTATCTTCTCCTGTCCCGCGGGTGATAAGACGGTATTTTACTGTGTCAGTAGCAACTGAGAAATTTCTCCAAATGCCAGACTTGCCTTGCTTTTCTGTTGTTTGATAAAAAACAAAACAGCTTTAATCTTCTTTTCAGCTTTGTTGACTCCATCCCCATCCTTCTGGTGGGCGCTAGCTAAATCCCGGGGCACAGTTTATTTTTTGACCATCCGTTCCCACCCACAGTGAAGTCAAAAAACCGCCCGCTCCTGCAGCATCCTAATCCGGTCCTCTATAATGTTCCTGCAAATAACAAACTGCCGGTGTGGTCTCACCATGTACTTCTCACACACCTCAACTGCTGATTTTTCACATCCTTAAAACACAATTCTTTCCCAAAACTATTCATTTCTTGACTGAATCATTCATTTTTCATTAATATTTGTGAAAGACCTACGCTCAAAGGGTCTGGGCAATGTGGCTTTCAGCATGCACATACTGTTTTATGGTTAATTCACAAGCACTCATTTTCAAATTGAGCATGAAAGTTGTTCAGATATAACAGTGATAAGATCATATCACGTTCCTCATCAGCAGATTGAGTTTGTCATGGACTGAGGTAAGAGTTTGTCCAATTTCAGACTGTCTTAGTGACAGTAAGCCAACGACCTCACAAAGTGAGATAAATGTCACAGGCTTACGTTAGACAATATATTACAGTAGAAGACAACAAATTAACATCCCTATCAAACATGCTGACAGTGAACGCAGTGCTCAGCTGTGCGTAATAGCACAACTGACTGCTGATACAGTGTACAGTGGAGACAGTAAAAGTAAAGAAAGATTTGTGATCATAGGTCAAACTTTACCACAGCTGCTCCTCAACTTTTGCAACTCTCAAAGAAGAAACTGTTTTATTTCCTTCCTCCACAGGGAGGTCAGAGGTCGGAACACCTACTGCAAATCAATCCCAGAACTGATCTGCCAGAATCTGAATGAATAAAAACTATGGAAACCTCGGGGGTGTTTTTGAGCTCAATCTCAAATGAGAACTTTTACTCAGAACTGTGAGTGGGAGTAGGGGGCTTCAAGAATGACTCTGTGGTCCTACTTTGAGATATTATTTCTTTTCTAGTTTAACTTTCAGCCAGGTTCCTTGGGGGGACCTTGAGATGCTTCATACTACTCCGAGCTTACTTCTAAAACCCTAACATACCTGCGTTGGACGCGGAGCTCCTCCAGGCGATGCAGCAGAGACAGGCAGTGGGCTTCCACGGCGCTGGCGTAGCCTCGTGCAAACACCCTCACCTCATTCGCTGCCGCATCCACCCGAGCCTGCAAAGCCTCCTGGGATACTTCCACCTTTAACAGAGTGCAAAGACAGAATTCTGTTGTGAAATAAGATAACTCAATATTTGAATTACAGTTTGTCATTAGTGGCATTATGTTGGACTGTAGGAATGTGTTCAAACATGGACATAGTGGGAGGTTTCTTAGGGCTGTTCTAAAGCCTTGGTTGGAGCTGAAAAGGGTAAAGCAGGCCCTCCAGTGTGAGTCTCGACAGAACAATCATTTTCAGACTCTGCTGCACCTTCTGCAGTGACTCTTTCAGGCGCTCCAGGCGAGGTCGCAGGCGCACTGTGACCAGTTCTCGGATGCGGTCTCCGTGGCGGTCGATAACATCACCGGTGGGGCAGCAGCGGTGGTCGCGGTGCAGCGTGGCGGCGCACTCCAGGCAGACGGGCAGGTCGCAGGGCTGACAGAAGAGCCGCAGCTCCTGGCCGGGGTGGAGGGAGCAGAGGACGGGGCGGCAGAGACGACCACGAGACTTCAGCTCCTTCAGACACTGGATAGAGTGAGAGGCTGTCCGCTTCTGCCGCCTGCAGACAGGAAGGAGAACACATACATACATTTGTATTGTACGTCAGAATAAAGATCCAGTTGAGCCTCAGAGCTGGTAAAAAGAGAGTACACCTGAACAGAATGCACCTTCTAGAACCTCACACATATTGTACCTGTGTCAGTGACAGCTCAATTGTAGGGCCACAACTAATGATTATGTTCAATATTTGATCAAACAGATCGATATACTGCTGATCATTGTCTCGATCAGTACATTAGCAGTTTGAGTTTTGAAAAATGCCGGTCGCTGTTTCCCAAAGTGATGTGCTCCAATCTTTCTTGTTTTGTCCTCAACCCAAAGATATTCATTTTTCTGTAATGGAGGACTAAAGAAAGCAGAACATATTCCCATTTGAGAAGATGAAATCAGAGAATTTGGACATTTTTTTTCTCAAAAACTGACTCAAATGAGTTATCCAAAGAGTTGGCGATTAAAGCTGCAGTAGGTAACTTTAATAAAGTTAATCTGTGAATCTGGCCTCCTCCTAGTGCTGCTAATGGCATCTGCAAGAATCTATGGCACCTGACCAAAAACAACCAATCAGAGGCCAGAAAGATGTATCTGCCTGATGTGCCACTGTAAGGATATAGTTAAAGTTTCAGCAAATATCACCAAAAGTTATTTTAACAAGAGTTATCTGCTGCAGCTTTTCTTTCTTATATGTGATAATAACAATGCTACTAGATTTTGGACTGATTGGCAAAACAAGCAATTCCAACACACTACCTAATGTTTACACAATGATAAATGGAGACAGTGCAGATGTATTGGACTACCTACTGTGATGATGTTCTGGTCTGAGCTCTCACAGGATAGACCAGAACAAAGCCCAACCTGCCTCGTCTATGTGTGGGTGGGTTAGGCAGCAGACTGACACTAGCCCTGAGCACAGTGTACCTGTGTGCCTGGCAGCAGAACTCGCACAGGTTGACGCAGCAGACCTCGCAGCGGCTCTCGGCGCCTCCTTCCCCGCACAGGTCGCATCCCAGCGGGCCGTCCGTCACCAGGGTCTCCAGGAATACTTCGTCCAGCGCCAGGTGGTCGGTGCTCAGCCCTCCCAGTCCGGACGGAGGGATGTCCACCTCGGAGTCACAGTCGGGACAAAGCACCGTGACGGTGACGGCGGGTCGCTCCTCCGGCACCGCTCCGCCCCGGCGGCTGTCCTCCTCCGGAGCGTCCCGGCGGCAGCGCGAAGACACCGAGAACGGCTCCAGCTGGCCGATACAGTCGGAGCAGAAGGTGTGCAGACAGGGGAGGATTTTAGGGTCCCGGTACAAGCGTTTACACACGTTACAGACCGCTCTCGGGTTCACAAATGTTCCGTTAAGTTCCTGTTCCGAGCTCAACGCTGGCTCCGTGTTTTCTTTCTGCTCGGACTGCGACATGTTGAGTGTTTTCGGAGACTTTTTGGAGCAGTGAATACCGCCCTGAACCCCACCGAGCTCCAAAAACCGGTCACAACTCAACGAACGCGTCCCGTGAGCCTTTCTTCTGCACAGTAACCACTCATATCAAACTAAACCATCACTTATCTACACTGGGAGAATACAAAGAGTTCCACCTCCCTGAGTATAATCCCACACAAAGTCCCACTTTTCTCCGGGAAAAGCAGGCTGCGTTCACGGCTCCATGGGACATATGACACCTCACTCACTACCAGACCAATAGGAAACCTCTCGCGGACTTTCAGGGGTGGTTCAAAGACTTTCCAGGACTCTTTAATACCAGTCTGGGACTCTGACTGCCCCCATCTACCGGCAGGACAGAACAATATGTTTACAGTAGGGTGTAAACGTGTTCATGTGAACTGTGCACAGGGTTGAGAGGGTTACTGTAAAAATGGAATCCGATATAATTACTAAGTAACTGTTGAAAAGTGTCAGTACCCTAATCCAAGTATCACAACATTAGAGTAATGTAATTTGGTTACCGTTACATTGGGATTACCTCAACACCAAATGTGCACATTTTAACGAGGGAAAAGAAATGTCACTAAGAAGTACTGATGACTGATGACTGGAGTGTGTTCTATTGTGTTCTATGGTAAAAGACAACAGAACAATGACCTTTGAAAAGAAAATGGAAAAGGAAAAAATGGAGAGATATTCCTCAGATAAGCGAAAAAAACTGATGGATTTTAAAATTGTAATCTTGCTAAATAATCCCAATTTTTACTAACTGTAATGGTTAACAGTTACTTTTGGAACTGTATTTACAAAAAAACACTGCTGAGCTAATGGCAGAAATATAGTTTTATTTTCTATGCTAATGTTAAAGATTAGATTAGAGTTCAAGTTTAGCAATTTCTTTAAAGAACTTGAGAAAAACGCCTCTCCTTAGTGGTAATGTGAATTTCATTTTTCAGGCTGCATTATTTCCTTTGAAACCTGGGAACAAATCCACCCATTTAAGAACAACTGAAATTCATTGTATTTATTTATTGACTCAGTAATACAAGAAACGGTAGGGTGCTAATTTAATAAAATAAAATGGGTCTCAGCCATCATATCATACTGTTTCATCTCTTTATGATATTATTCTTATTTTCTCCCTGAGGAGTGTCCATCCCTTTTTATGTTATGCGGACAGACAAAATAAAAATAAAAACTCTAATTAGAATTTAAAAATGAAACATTTTGACAAATAATCTAGATAGAGCTTTCACCTAAAACATACATACATCAGAGAAAATAGAAAGAGAAGGTCAATGTTAACGGAGAAAATGCGCCACAGAGTTAAATACTGTTACACGGCAATGACACCCACTGTAATAAATTAAAAACCAAAGAATCTTCAGAAATAATGTTCTTGACACATTACTTCTGTCAAATTCTGAAAAGTCCTGCCACTGCATGAATCCAACACACACACCAGAGGAGATTTACAGCCAGGTGGAGTGTGTGTGTGTGTGTGTGTGTGTGTGTGTGTGAGTGTGAGTGTGAGCTGACTGCAGTTCCACTGTGAGCAATAGGGAACACTGATAGCTCACAGCAGCAGAGGCAAGGACAGAGCCCATCTGGATACAGCACCACTAGGTGTGTGTGAATTGTGTGTGTGTGATTAGGACAGATAAAAGGTGCAGAGGACACTGGTCATGATGCTCAGGTAAGTCGATGCCAGCAGGGACGATGCAGTGCTGTAGGTGAAGTATGTGGTCCACAAAACGTTAGAGCCTGAAACATATGAATGGGGATTAAAATTATTATTATTATTATTTGTACTGTTCCACCAACTCAGTGTATCCATGCAGTTGAGCTACTTCCCATAGGCACAATAATAAAAGAATAGTCAAAATCCCAGTATTGTAGTGGTCCCATTATATATAGTATCTTTCATGTCATTTCAAGTGTGAACCTATCGTGACATCACCAATTGGTTTGTTGAGTACTGTTTCAAAGCCTTGAAACACTACTGTCTTTAGTTCAATTGTGTAAGACCAGGCGGCTTGGCTGGTGAGAAAATGGCAATGCAGTAACATAATCTTGATTTATGTTTGTCTAGCACTGCCTAGTTTGACTTGTCAATCACAGGGTCACCACGCCCTAAAGCATATACTTTTATGATCTATTTTCTCACTGGGACCATAATTTACAAAATGAACATCATGCTGCATGGAAGAAGACTTGAAACTGTTTACTGAGCTAATAAATCAAGTGAGAGAGGTATAGTCATTTTGCTCTACATTAAATGCAAGCAAGCTTCTTTTTATAAGCAACTGAGTTCCCCTATGTTGGCCTTTAGAAAGAGTTCATGCTGTACCATGCTTTGGATTGTGATCAAACATGGTGTGAAGCAGTTATAAAAGAATACCTGTTATAGTTGCCTTAGAGACGATGATCACCAGGCTATTCTCAATGCTGCAGGTGTAAGTGCCATCGGTTATCATCAGTGTGCTGACTAAACTGTATATCCCCATAGAGCTTTGTGTGAGGCTTGTGTTTCCCTGCAGGTCGTTTCCAAAACGGTCAAACCATGTCACGTTTGGCTCAGGGTACCACCTGCTTGCCTCAGCAACCACGAAGCCATTTGAGATTGAAAATGTGGGGTCTGAAAAGGCTGAGAAAAAGATAAAAGAGGTAAGTAGAAATTACAAATCCATGCTGCAATGTGAAATGTCCAAGGCCCACTTCAGTCAGTAGTCATATTGTCACAGTACTACTTTTCAATCCATTAAAACCATTATAAAGTCCAAATATATATATATATATATACAGCTCAAGGCTAATAGTATAATCTTCTACAACTAAATGGCAACAGTTTACAATAAGGATACACTAATTAACATTGGTTAATGCATAAATTCATATTAATTAACAGTTAAGTAACACTAAACAATGTATAATTAATACCTTAGTTCTGTGTTTCTCAAACCTTTAACTGTTAACCTGTGTACCACCTCAGATAATATTAGGCTCTCCAAGTGCCACCGTTATCACCAATGTTAAAATACAGTAACCAACCCTATTCAGCTATATACAGTTCAGACAGGAGTCAGGTTTATTCCTAATAAGATTACTTATTGTTGACTGTTAAATACACACGCCATGTTACGCTGACTATGACTACGTAGCAGGCTGATGTAATCGTTAATAAATACTGTATATTAATACATTGAAAATGTCCTTTTATCTGCTTATAAATACATTATAGTGTGTTAAGAACCATTTATCAAATGTTTACTGTTAAGATTAAGTTTTCCCAATGGAAACTGGAAAGACGAGTCATCCTACCTCCTGTTCTAAGACTAATGCTGATGGTTCCTCCGCCTACAGAGGAGCCAACGCTGCAGGTGTACTCCCCTTCGTCACTGCTCCTCACACTCCTCAGCAGCAGAGAGACGTTCCCTCTGACTACATCATCAAGAATAAGATTAGTTCTCCCTTTGAACTGTGAGTTCTGCTCCCTGAGATTCGGAGCTCCGTTTGTATACTGGTAAACCAGTCCCGTCATGCCCGTCTTCTGCCAGGTGACTGACACCTGGCTGATGCCGGTTCTTTGTGTTAGAAGATAGCAGCTGAGAAGCTCATCCTCACCAAGGTTGCCAACAGGTGATCGGTTGCTGCTCGTCACCTCGGTTGTGGACCCTGTGGGACGGGGACACAGCACAGACTCATAGTGGAGAATGCTGATTATAAACATACATTGGGGCAACATCATTTCAGTCCCTTTTGTTTGTAAGATTGAATATGTTAAAAACTTGGTAATAGAAGTGTTAAAGGACTTTTTAAAGGATAGGTTCACATTTTTTAAATCTGTCATTATCAAAACAATCTCACTAACATGCCTGTAGAGTTATGTTGAGTGTATTCTGATGCAGAGCTGGATGATGCAAGTTAAAAATGACCTTTTTTAGACGAATAGTTGAAATATGTGCTCTGAATGCTTTCTAGGTGTTACTTTAATGTAGGAAAAGGTGTATATTGAAGTTGAACTTGAGGCAGACACATCCTGAAATTCTTTGCAGGTGCTAAGAAGCAAATATCTACTCTGAAAGATTAAAATACACAAACAATACACATTTTATTTCCAAATCTCTCCTTTATTCCACGTAGATATCAGTTATAACATGATTAATAGTCTTCTGCATGCGGGGTAACCTAACCCTCCTGATGCTACCTGAACCCTGATCATAACCGTACCATCTGTGATCAAAACGTTGTCAATCATGTCTACGTAGAATAAAAAAAGTCTCTATAAAAAACATTTCTCTTTGATGGAAATTAAACTGCACATTCAAAAGCACATGAACATCATGCACACACCCAGATGGTTTTTAAAAATTTGGTAGTGCGTTGTCAAACACAAGAATGAACTGCTCTTTAGTTTAGGCAAACACATGCTGGACACACCCATGTATCCCCTCAGGCTGACAGAGCCATCACTAAGTAGTAGAACTAAGTTCTTACCTGAGAAGGCCAAAGACAAGATGAGGATGATGAGGCCTGTGAATAGGACGATGAGGACAATCATGCTACACACAAAGAGAAGCACAGAAACAGGATAAGGTCACAGACACACTGCTGACTAAGGTTAACATCAACTTGCAGAGCAGCTTTACAGCAACCAAGACAAGAATCTCCTCCATGATGCAGGAATCTGTAGACGCCCAGTGGCGGAAGAAGTACAGTGTGAATATCATTTACTTAAACCTGCTACAAGGAGTTTTTAACTTTTTATTGTTGTAGGTAGTTTTAACTATATCATATAAAGTTTGGTAGTGTAGTCCTAAGGCTCTCAATGTAGGGGACCAGCCCCCTGCAAAGGGTTGCAAAATAAATCTGTGAGTTTGTAAGTTGATTAATGAGAGAGGATGCATAAATATGTTGTGCTAAGGAAATTTGTGCTGTTATTTTGAACTTTTTTTGTGAAACATTGGATCATTTGTCTTAGAGGTTTAGAGGGTAAATTTGTTAGAACATCTTTAACAACTCTGTATTATTTGCACTATATTTTATAATCTGAAATCTGAACAGTAACTACATCTGTGAAATAGTGGAGTGAAAAGTACAATATTCCACTCTGAAATGTATTGTAGTAGAGGTATTACGTGGCATAAAGCCACAAGAAAAGTACAAGTAACTGAAAATTGCACTTAAGTACTTTGTTACTTTCCACCGCTATAGACACCTAAATGTTTTAAAAATTCAATCACCATCAGTGAGAACACCTTATAGCCACACCTGTAGAAGATGATCTGCCCCAAGGTAGCCATGGCTGCTGATAAAACCTCTCGAGAAGAACAAACGATTCGATCCTGTTGCTTAGGTCAAAGGTCCAGTCATGCCATCCCTCCTAAATATCCATCATTCCACCAAAAATCATTTCTGCACATTTCTACACGCTACTGCTAAACAGACGACTTCTACTTCCACAGAATGACTGCTTGCTTTTTTGTCTACTTGGCTTACCTCACTAAACACAACACCATAAGTAAATATTACCTTTAAGGCGTGTGCTGCATATTTGTTTTCACAGTAACTTATGTACCTTATTGAAATAAAGGTGCATGCTGCTAATTTACAAGCCAAAGGGGCTCTAATTCAGCAATTTGTTTCCCATATTGACATAGGTAGGTTGAATATACTGCAGAAAACATGAAAATGCAATGAATTAACCTAGATGCATTCACTGGTCAATAACTAGTTATTAGCTCTAACAATATGGTTTTAGATTCCCCCACATTATACTAGGTGTAGTTTTATTTCACCCATAGATGTCATGGTAAATGAAAAAAAAACTATGGTCTTATATTTGTGATCTTCATTAAGGAAAACTTAAATCATCAAATGTAATGTGAAAAGAACAATATCTGCTTAAGAGTTTTTGCCAATTATATATGAATTAAATTATTTCTCACTATGCTCATCTCAGGACCAGTAGAGAAATGAGAGCAAAACCATCATCACTGGAAAACACAAAGACGTGACCTGATGACCACCGAAAAACCTCATGTCTGCTTGTGACACATGATATGAAAAAGCACATTTAGGTCATATAATCCAACCGTGTGAAATAAGAACTAGAATTTATTTCAGTTTTTATTTCAGGTTCCATATTCTGAACACACACGTGAGGAAAAACTACAATTACAACCCTGTGGTTGTATGCCTCCGCCAATATGGTGTTGAGTAATGGCCAAATTATTACAGGAAGTTATGATGGCACAGTGAAGCTGACCTTTGACCTTTTGTGTAAAAAAAAGTCATCACTTTATCATTGTAACCTGTTTAACTCTCTATGAAATGTTGTTATTAATTCAAAACGTTTTGAACGCCACAGCTATGACCAGCATGGAGGCATAATGCAATGCAAAACTCATTTCCAGTAGAGACATTGTCGTCACAGTCAAGTCAAGGACTGTAATGTTTAGCAGTGTTTCTGGCTGTGCATTCATCCGCTGTTACACCTTTAAATCACAAAGTACACCTATTCTGATGAAACTGTGCAGCAGTGAACCGGGTTTACTCCAACAATTTACTCAAGGTGGAGTAAATTTCAATGTTTCAGGGTGGAAAGGCGTCAGCAAGCAGAAACAGCATGCATTTGACAACTCTAAAACAAACAATACACATCTTAAACAGTTATAGAAAGTTGCACAGTTAAAAAAAGATGTACAACAAAAAAATCTTTGGAAGATGATTTCTAATTATGCTCAGCTCAGACTTTAGTACGATCTGCTTTGACTATAATTACACTGGTAATGTACCAGTAGAGCAGTGGTGGATGTGAATGGCATGCGAAAATATGGAGTGCAACAAAGTTGAATATGATTTATCTAGGGAAAATAAACAAACAAGAGTTTGCTGATGCTGTCCTGCTGACCTTTATTTAACTATAAATTTTACTTTACTTTTTTTATTAGTTGCTTCCTCTATCATTGATAATGTTCAACAAAATATTGTGGGGTGAACTTCTTTTGGCTGACGAAGGCGGCCATGCCAGAAAAAGTTTGGGAACCATTTTAGTAGAGAAACGAGACAAAAAACTTCATTATGAGAATGCAGCTACATGCCACTGAGACCAGAGACCAACCTCAATTCTACATGTGACAGAGATTTTGATATGTGCAAAAGCACACAGAAGTCACAAAACCACATGAAATAAAGAAGTAATATTTGTTTCAGTTTATTTCTGAGCACAGGCACATGAAAAAAAATAAATGCATAATGAATTTCTAGTAAAGACATTGTCCACACAAAAGTGGATTGAGAAGTGCTCATGGCTGTACATTTTCATAAACTGCATGTGCTTAAATGTTTGCCAGTGACATGTATTCTTGTGAAACTGTGCTGCAGTAAAATCATTCTCAGTTAGATGTGTGACACCATGAATAGCTCAAGTAAAAGAAAAAGTCAATTAAGGTGCACTGCAGCAACCATACAGATAAGAAACAAAAATATATGTATTTAAGAACCACAATAAGAGAAAGACTACAACATGTTTTTTCTTTTTAGAAATCCAAATATATTTCATATGCTGCTGATCTAACACTGGGAGGCCAGTCTGAACTGGTTGTTGTGATGCGTGTGTATGTCCTGTACTGGTGTGTATAGTTTTATATTACAGATACCAGTATCAGGTATCGGGTATGCTCATGTACACAGAAATGTACTCATAAAAGTTAACCTTTCATTAGTTGAGCAGGTAGGCAGAGGAGAAGCAATGTCAGCAGTTTGGATATATTTTAAGCAAATTTTACAACCTTAGGAACATGAAAATAAAACATATTTTTAAAGTCATTGTTAGAACTGTAATATCATATTGGCACTTGGTAACTGCAAGTACCCAATTGTAAGTACTTGTATTTGGTCTTAAAATAGTGGTGCATCCATATTTTATATTATATGTTTTTTTCCTTTTTTACTGTTGTACTATCATTGTGTGTGTGTGTTTTAACTTTGACCTGCTAAACTACAGCAGTTGAAAATTAGCTTTAAGCTAACGCTGGTACCATACATCAATTTTGCCATTTATGTTTAAATTAATATTTTAGTTAATGTGGTCATATGCTTTCCTTTTGAGTGTTAGATGACTGATACCGATACGCATTAAGATCTGGAGCCAGGAGGCGGTTAGCCTAGCTTAGCATAAAGCCTGGAAGCAGAGGTGTAATAGTGTGTAATTGTATTTCCCAAAATGTTGAACTATTCTTTTAGTACTGTGCATAGATTCAAAGTTATATAGATTATAGATACTACAGCCCCAGCCAGCTGGATAAGCAAGGGCCCGTCAGGGACCAGCAGGCAATTCTAGGTGGCTGGATCAGTATACCCCTACCACTTTTCTTGATCCCTAACTGGAAATGTAATTGTGAAAATGTGGTCAAAATGAGGATCTAATTGTTTATTATGCAAAATTAAAAATCTGTCTGGGAAAATCCTGCTCAGTTATTTAAGAAGTGAAAGCATCATGTACCATCATTGTGAAAGTGCTGTAGGCTGGCACACTGTGCTTAACAGCTGTGTCACACCACTGTCCAGAGTTGTATATATATGTATATATATATATCGCTCAGCCAGTAGAAAAGAACTGCAGCAGCCTTGCAACAGAATATCTTAGCCCATTGTTTTTCAGTCTGACACTCTCTCTTTCAGCCAACATGCCTCACCCTGGTCATGATTTTCCTCAAAGACTCGTCCAACTAATAACAAATGCTGTGAGTATATTCCTGCTGATAATCGTCTTCTACATCCTGCAGTATATATTTGACATGGATTTTATATGCTCGTGCAGACCAGGTTTGCATACAAATGGCATACTGTACTTGTTAATCCCTCCTGTGATCCTCACCTGGGTTGCCATCATCACTGAGCCTTTACACCAATCGAGGATTTTTTCCATCTTCCATCTTCTCCATCGTCTTAGTCACAACAAACGCTGCGGCTTTTTGGTTAAGGTTATTGTCAGCTACATCGGTATGTGTGCTGTATGGATAACTTCTGTTCTGTTTGATGGAGACTGGTATCTTTGCCTGATGACAAACCTCAATGTCAATCATACCGGAATCCCTTGCAAAGAAGATCTGACCTACGAGGAGTACCAGATTAAAGCTGGTTATAAGACTGATTCACTTGTAAGTAACAACACACAGCACTCACATATGCTACATTAGAGATATGAAATTATTTTTATATCTAAACAAATTTATATATATATAAAAAAAGAGTTTCAGTGGTATAATTTCTATAGAGAAGACTATAACTTATTGATTTAATAACTAATGCTAGTATCATTAAATCCTTAATTAGTCTGATGCCCAGTATACATGTTTGATATTAGGAATAGTAATTCATCAATTTGCCAATTCAGAGCACCATTTGGGCTAAATGTCATAATTGTTAGTAAATAACAAATAGGATAATGTAATTTATTACTCATTACTTCTTTCAAAAGTAATATTATTTTATTACTCCCTGCCAACAGTAATTAGTCAGACTACTAGTTAAATTGTGGTAAAGATAATGTTTTTGTTACAGGGAACCCAGCAGCACAAAGTACTATGTAGTGTAGTATGTATGGCTGGTGCTGGATCTCCGGTGATAACAGAATTTACTGTCATGGTAGAAGTGTTGAAACAAATTGGAGCTTGATTGAAACCACATAAATGTTGTGACTTATGTTCCTTGAACTACTAAATAAATCTCTTTTTATTTCAAGTTTACTGTTTTATCGTTTGCAGGACATTGGCTTTTATGTCATCTGTCCTCTTCTTTTTCTTTGGAGCCTTGCTGACTGCACTACAGCCTGTTATATCAGAAGGAAGATGTGGAACAATGTGTGTCGCTCAAAGCCTCCTTACTACAGATCAGTTTATGAAGATCTTCTGGCGGAGCAAGTGAACAGCCGTTTGAAAAAGGAGCTAACAAAAATAGCAACACAAAGAGCCAAAGCAATCTGTATGCCCTACATTCTAACCATTGGGGAAAATGAGCACCCATTTAACTATAGACGAGATGACAACGACAATGTCAACAACGACAATGTCAACAACACAGCTTTGGAAGCCTGGAATAAGATTTCAGCCTCGGATTTTCCCTTCATGGATTATGAGATAGAACGTTAACACAGAAACATTGGCCGGAGAGGATGGAGAATGGATGCAGAAGAAGTTTCAAGAAGAAGAAACAATCTATCTTTAGTTTGATGATATAATTCCAAATTATTTTTATATATTATTAGAAACTGATTTGTAGGTCAAAGACTTTCTGGATGCCTTTAGTTATTTACAAACACAACAAATTGTTCATCAATGCTGAAGCCTCTTCTCACAGATCCATTTCAAAAGGGTAGTACATGACAGATCATTCCAGTTGTAAATATCACCCTTTCCAATTATGATATGGGCACAGTCCTCTTCCCCGAGTGCTTTGTATCCACCACCATTATCAGGCTGTGGTTTACGCCAGTACCTAACAGGTCAACAAACAAGACAATAATGACATATAGTAATATATATAAATGTTTTGCATGAACACTATTACTCATAATCAACTCCAAATTAATGCTAATGTTGCTCTGGGTATGCTGTGTAAATAGGATATAGTCTAATAGTATACCAGATTTCCATACCAGCTTTCTACAACACTGATTACTGTTGAGTTTCCTGCTTGTGTTGCTGCCCTCAAGTGGCCAAAAATGACCACAGTGTCACAGAGATAGCAATAAAGCATTTCATTCATTAATAATTAATTGTTCAATGAATAATAGGCATTCATAAATTTGCTTACAAATTATTTATTTATCTATAAATAAACAGACTCACTTATATTTATTATCTGATATTTTAGTGGGCAAAAGAAAGGGTAATTATTAAAACTAATTTTTTTAATTATTATTATTATTAAAAAAGAATACACAAATGAAATATAAATCCATCAATAAAAATGAGTTCCAATTAAAAAGAGATTTACAATAACATTAAACAGTCATAAAATACATCCTTTAAAAAATTATAAATTCATAAATAAATAATGGAATTTCAAAATCTATTTGGAAAACGCAGTTTAAAAAAAGAAATAAGCAACAGGATAGACAAATTGAATTAATTAATTAAAAAGGGCAATTTCCTTTACGATTTGCATTTCATTTTCCTATTTGCTCTTCAGTTTGAAAAAGCTGTCAGCATTTTCTGCTAAAATGATATAAAACAATGCATATTTAAATTGTAAATTCTTTTCATAATTCTTCAAAATATCAAATAATGCTTTATTACTATTTCCGTAACTTACTGAAGTGTCCGTTGACGTTTCTTGTTATTTTAAGTACCTCCTCTTCATGGTAAACTAAACTACAACAGGACCAACATTGTCAAGATATTTTATCTAGAAGAATAGATATTTGTACACAAGTACCACAGAAACTAAATCCTGCTAAGTCTGCAACACTTTAAGTGTGATCAGTTGGAGTGTCTTGAAACTGCTGTGCATTTATATTGTACTGTATGTACAATGTGTGTAAGTCAGGGTACCAGTATGGTCAGGGAAAAAAATACAATACAGTTGTTTATACAGTATTTTTCTATTTTGGGTTATACTATTCTATTAATGACATCTTTAAAGCTGTGCTAGCCCAATATATTGGATGTGCCCCTTAAAATTCTCCCAAAATATCTGGCATCTGTATCTCTAATCTATATTAGTCATTGCCTCCTGACTGAAGATGGGAGATAGAACCATAGCACCATCTGGTGGGATTACTGAGTAAAATATATTTCACTAAGTGCATCACTTATTGAGAGTGAAAATGTGTGCTGAATGTATTTAAGTCTATACTGATTACACTTTGAAATAAGTTTATCTGTTATTTCTGGTTCAGAAGATTGTAGAGTCAGACTTAAGACAAATACATTCTAGAAATAGAAATACAAGAGTGTTTGTATTTTTGTTTATGTTCAACAAAGGTGAAGTTCATTTATGGCTTACTTTAGAGTCAGTGGACCGCCATCAATCCATTTCCAGGTCCCCTCCTTGTCTTTGTCAGTCAAACCAATCCAAGCATGAGTTTCTTCCTTGGTGAAGTTAGACAGGAACTTCTGTTCAATAAAGATAACGGAAAGTCACTGTATATATATTTTAGTTTTAATAATATTATATGTTAATTCACTGTATTCAAGTTTATCAATGTAAATGTGAAAATGTAACTTTTTTAAAGTTTTAATTTTCATTAAAATAAGTCAAAACAAGTCTGGTTATTCTGTTTTTATTGTGTTTCATTCTAAGGCAGTGATACTCAACCTGGGGGTCGGGACTCGGGACCCCCCACTAGGGTTTGCCAAAGCTTCACAAGGCCTTCTTGATTTTAAGGGGTTGAAGAAAAGTATAGACAGTAGGCCTATATCTCACAGGATAAGGGTATGGTGAGGTCTGGAACACCAAGCCTAGCCTAGCCTAATATAACAATGGCCAAGCATCAGGGAGTATTTTTGTCAAGAAAGAAGCCTATTAAGTATGTACGATTGTTAAAATAAATAAATAAATAATACATAATACAAACAGAGAATTGTACAAAGGGTTCTTAAAATATCAGGAAACTCCTCTCTGATGCAATATTCACAGGGAATAATCTGCTCTCATTGTGGTTACTGTTTGGGTTCATTGTACAGTTTATCCCTTGTTCTCTACTGTTATTGTTGTACATTAAATATAATATGAACCATCTATAAAATATGTCCTTTTCCTCTAGTCTATCAGCTGGACAGTTTTCACTTATGCTGAGATATATCCATCATCATTGATGGATTAGCACAAAATTTGGTATAGACATTTGTGGTGATGTATCCTGCTGACTTTAGGGATCCTTTGGGCTTTCCTGTAGTCCCCATCAGGTTAATTTTTGGTTCTTTAGTGAAATATCTTGACAACTAGATAGTTGACCTTCATTAGAAAGATAGTTGACAGTTTTGATAGTGTTTAGTGCTAATTAGCAAATGCTAGAAAAGACAGAAACCATCTTTAGGAAAAGATGAGTACTTTGACTTTTTAGTTTGGCCCATGTCCCATCTGCTAACATGGACAGGGTGGGGTTTCTGACTTATACTGCAGCTAGCCACCAGGGGGGGATAGAGATGTTTTGGCCTCACTCTGTGGGGAGCTGTCATGTCATCCATCTACAGTCAGTGGAACAGACTCACAGACAAGCATGGCTGTAGACATTTGAAAATATGTTATAAAAAATGTGTCTCCATGAACTATTTAGCAAGCCATCAACATTTAAAACATCACACATATTACCTGTTCTGCAGTACTGCCTATTTCCACCAGACCTGCTCCTCTGACACCACAGTCTTCTTTGCCCTTTTCCCAGGAACCAGTCTCATTAGAGAGGAGATAACAGACACACTTGAACATCCTCCATCCTCTAGGACAAGTAGGCCTACTTTCTGTAAGAAACAACAAGAACAAAAATGAGACAACCGCAAGTTGTAATAAAGATTCATATTTGGTATCCAGCATAAAGGTGGCTTTGTGAAAACATGATTGTTGAATATGATGGGGCCATAATATCACCCTGTCACCCGCTTACAAAATAGTTTCTATCGTGTTTTTAACTTTTTTTAACTGGTTTCATTCTTGCAGTCTTCAAAGTGCAGGTCTATTGTTGTTATGTTAACTTGCTGTTAGATTGTAGATAGTTTAAGGGTTGATGCTGGGGGTGAAGTTGCTTAACTAACTTAACTAATCAATAGGTGTCATGAGAATAAAAAAGAAACATAAATAAATAGGTATCATCAAGATTACATTATGAAAACACATTTGAGTCTTTGAAGGAACGTTTAAAGTAGACAAACAATGGACTACATGGTTTCAGAAATGATCAAACTTCCTGCCACAAGATCATGATAAACAGGAGAGTAACACATAACACATTGCATTGAGAGTAACACATTGCTTAATTTAGGGTGTGTGAGACAGTTCTGTTGCATTAGGACAAAACCAAAACGTTCACACTTCGTAAGACAAAACATTTTTTATTTTCACTTTGTTGCTCCTGTAGACGAGAACATTTGTGTACAGTCCCCACTCTCACTCAGCATGTTCAGCTCTTCAGTCTTGTTAGCGAGGCTGTCCTTCAGCAGGTCTCTCTCTTCAGTCAGGGAAGAGGATTTGTTGTCACTGGCCTGAAGACGCTCAGTCAGGTTGNNGAGTTCTGCAGCTGAACGCTGAGCAGAGACATGGTCTAAAATAAACCAACAGAGACTTTTATGTTTATTACAGGATCTGAGAATCAGATACTGAATGATATGAAACAGCGTCCTATCCAGTGCATGTGTGGTAGACTAAACAGTGGTTTGGAAGAAATTTGTGTCTATGTTTTTTCATTCATTTAAAAAAGACTTTGGATTTAAAATTTGGTAAAAATTTGATTCAGTAATATAGGACAATACATTTCCTACATTATATCAGCTTTTTTTTCAACACTAACACTAATGATGGACTTCCTTATTTTCTGTTACTTCCTCATTATTCAGTATAAGTAAAAGGCCATATCATTGTATTTATATTTAACATAAAATATATAGGTTGTCAGTAGATGGACTATTTGTTTGTGTTACTTGAAAAGTCAATAAAAACATGTTTCCTAAACAGAAAATATATTTTTTACGTCCCGAAACAGTAAATGAATATACACAAATATGAAATGTTAAGTTAAATTACAGTTAAATTACACTTACTCCCCAATGTGAGACCTATGTAATATATATCTGTCAGCGGTACAAAGACAAATACAACCACAGAAATAAAAAATAAACAGAAAGGAAAAATAAAACAGACATTTTAATAAAATATAAGCAGACTTTTTCTACTAAGTCATTACTCTGATTTCTGAACGTGATTAAGACTCACAGTGGACACCTAGACGGATGAGTCCAACCAGCAGGAGAACAGAGAGCAGCCCCAGACAGAGAACGACCACTCCGTGAAATCTACTATCTGAGCTCCTGGGACCTGAACACAGGAAAGACCAGTGAATTATGCAACAGTAAGACCAGATGATAATATACTGATACATGTAAGACATCTGTCTGACTGAACATTCTTACCCGTCTGATTTTTTGAAGGTACTGGTTTGACATTCATATAGATCTCGTCCATCGCTTATAACTATTCCCTAGAGGGTCAGCTCTGCAGCGCGGATGACAGCATGTGAAAAAAATTCTTCTCTTGGTTTCATTTCCTAAAAGGAAGTCATGAGTTTCAGAGGTGCTAAAACCATGGCTTGTATGATAATCCTCTATCACAACTTTGAAGCAAGGTTACTATCAGATACACTATCTATTATCCATATAGAAAATGAAATGGTGAATTTGGAATGAAACAACAACCCTAAAGACCACAGCACACTGCCATTTTCCTATCTGCTGCTCAATATGATCTCCTTTAAACAATCTCCTTTTGCATTAGGAACCATAATGCTTGAGATAGACGTAACTTTAACATTGGAAACCCTCTTGTTTCCAACCAATAATCATCACTGGTTCCTTTTAACCATGAAGACAATTTTCCCTCAACCTTAACCAAGAGGTTTTGATTGTCTCAACGGCAGTGTCTCATGTCAAAGTCACATTCTTTCTACCCACCCTGATCTCCCCCTGTAGAGGGTTTGTGGCACTACAACACCTTTCTTTCTGACAGACAACAGTCATAATTAGAATGGCCATAAGAGGTCCTTGTACTGGAGTTTTAGGCATCGTTTTAGGCATTTGAACCAAACCCCAGTGTTTTTGATTTTGTAAGACTTGATGTCTGTTGAATGTCCCTCTGCACTCAAAAGCACAAGGTTGTAGTGAAAAGTGTTGGAGAGTTTTCCCTGCAGAATGATAACAGATGAAAGAAGAGACATATAGACACCAAAAAAATATGTTTTAAAAGCTTTTAATTTTGCTCATTATTATATAAAAAGCCACAACCAATATCAGCTACCGCCATCACAAATCATCACAACAAAACTTTTACACTAGACCTTACCATACCATCCTGGTTTTCTTTTGCAGTTTTCAACTATCAAGAAATCTTTAGCTAAAACACGGATTCAATAATGTTATGTCTGTCTCCTTCTAGTTGTTTGGGCACTGGTGTGTTTATATGGCAAAAGAAAAGGGGAAAAATGTTCTGGGTCCAAATTTGGCCTGCTGTACCCTTCAGGTTACAGATATGTTTACCTTAATGGGTGAGTTACAAAAGAGTTTCAGAATTATTTTCAAACTTCATAGTCAGTCATAAGCTGTGTTTTGCTCCAAATGTATTACAAATTTTAATGAATGCTTCAAATGTTTCCATTCACCACCATTATGTGAATATTATGAGTAAGGGGCGCCAATTCCCTAGTTGGAAAACCAAAAGAAGAGGGTGCAACAAGCAATGTTGGATGCCTGGCAGAAACTTTGAGTCTTGAATTTCTACATGATGATCAGAATACTTTACCTTACCTTAATTACATAGTAATTACAGAGGAATGTAGAGAAATTAGCAAGAAACAACAGTAAGTAATTTAAGTAAAATCCATATAATGACCAGCTGTAGTGTGAGAACTACCAGTATTTACTGTAGTAAATATTGACTAACTACAGAGTAAAATGAAAGCAAAATAAAGAGATTTGGTTGGTAATTATGTGGGAGTTAACTGTTACAGTGAGTGGTACAGCCCACATACAGGGTAAGACGCAGGTGGATGATTTCTGTGTGACTGTATAGAGACTAACATTAATACCTTCTCGGTAGTTAGAGTAATACCTTAACCGTCAGCATGTCAATTTTGTGCAGCATCCATGACACAAACTAACGTACTTTCAGTAAATAACCATAATGTAATTTGTAATTTCAGTGTTACCCTCTTATGAGCAAAAGAATGTCACTGTAGTGACCGATAATTACTTAGTACCTGCCAGTAAACACATTTGGATGAAATATGCAAATATTTTCCAAATACTAAACAAAGATAAGGTACTACACTTTACAGGACAGTGACATTTAGTGATACCTACCTTGTCTTTGTTTAGTATTTGGACAATATTTGCATATTTCATCCAAAT